ACATATATGTCTCATACAAACTGTAAATCCATTACAGTAACTATAAAGACTAGATTTAAATCTTGGTAATCTTTTAAAAGTTATTAAACTATGTACACAGTATTAATTTAAGGTGTATAAGATCTATGTTTATTGTGTTTTTTATACCTGTACTTGGGAATTATTGTGTGAAATGTTATGAAGGGATAAAATGACAAAACATTTGTTAACTTCATATATAGAAATGATCAAGAGGGTGAAAATTGGGGAACATCTAGGTGCAAGTGATCTATTAGGTTCAATGTATTGCACCCCCCCAGTGGCACAGTGGTATGTCTGTGGAGTTACAGTGCTAGAAACCGGGTTTCAATACCCATGGTGGGCAGATCACAGATAGCCCATTGTGTAGCTTTGTGCTTAATTTCAAAAAACAAACAATCAATGTTTTACTGCATATGGATATAAGGAATAATGATATTTTGGTTACAAATTTCAAAATGGCAAATTTTGACGGGATGCGACAAGAATTATCTGTTGTGAGCCGAGTTATTTGGATACACTGATCAGATGTGGAAAATATTTAAAGATAAATTTTTAAATATTCAAGGTAAACATATTCCTTATAGAAAGAAAAGGGTAGCTGCAAGTAAAAAACCAGGTTGACTCGCAATAAGTTTAAGAGATAAAATTAAAGAAAAGCATACAAAATTTAAGAAATTTAAATTGACTGGTATGACAGGAGATTTAGAAGATTATAGAAGGTCAAGAAAGTTGGTAAAACAGGAAATTAGGACATCAAAAAAAAAAGAAAAGGTTGGCTGAAAATGTAAAATTTAACAGTAATGTTTTATTTAACCCTTTTGATATGGGCCACGAGTGAAAGGTCATATCATTTCATTTGTTGACTCCCATTCAACATTATCTGTTTTTTAATATTTATTTTAAATTAAGAAATTAAGTAATGTATAATACTAAAATTTGAATTATAACCAACAGTTTGATACCAAACTTATTGAAATAAATTTGTGAAATAGTAGTTCAATAAAATTTTGAATGCGAGTCAACAAACGAGATGACATGGCCTTTCACCCGTGACCTGTCTCAAGGGTTAAGTCATCCAAACAGTGTGCTGTTGCTAGTATTAGGGCAAATAGGATTTTAGATTGTATCTATAGAAATATTGAATACAAGCCTAAAGAGGTTATAATTTCATTGTATAGGTCACTAGTTAGGCCACATTTGGAATACTGTGTTCAGTCTTGGGCTCCTTATCTTAGAAAGGACATTGAGTTATTGGAAAGGGTTCAGAGGAGGGTTACTAGAATGGTGCTTCAGATGGAGGGGTTGTCATATGAGGAGAAGTTGAAAACTCAAATTGTTTTCTTCTGTAAAAAGAAGAGTTGGGGGGGATCTGATTGGTGTTTAAGATTGTAAAGGGAATTGAGTGTTGATGCATTATCTTTTTTCATACTTAATGGTGAGAATAGTAGGACTAGGGAACATAAATATAAATTTTGGGAACGTAGGAGTCATTTTCAGCTAAGACAGTTTTATTTTTCTAACAGGGTAATTGGCCTTTGGAATGGGTTGTCTTCAGATGTTGAGGCAGTAAATTTAAGTGATTTTAAGAATAAGCTTGATAAGTATATTAATGATAAGGGCTGGCTTTAAGATTTGTTTTTATAAAAACTTACTTATTAATAGTTTTAATTTAGTTTAGAGGATGGAACAGCCGAGATGGACCAATAAGTCCCAAGATATTATGTTATGTTAAAATACTTTAAAATGAAGATTGAATGGAAATAGATATTGAAATTTTTACTGTAAAATGAAGCGGAGAGAAACTTTCTAACTAGCAGTGGTGGTCAGATTGAATTGTTTATAACCTTTTAAAAGTTATTAAACTATGTACACAGTATTAATTTAAGGTGTATAAGATCTATGTTTATTGTGTTTTTTATACCTGTACTTGGGAATTATTGTGTGAAATGTTATGAAGGGATAAAATGACAAAATATTTGAAAATAGATTCAAATTGGAGCTCAATGTGTAATATTGAAAACAGACTATAACCAAACTTAATAAAATAATAACATACTTACAAACGACCATAGACGTAACAATAACATACTTACAAGTAGTTTCACTTTTCAATGTCTTCTTATATATAGAACTTTTGTACAGGAATTTTAAAGTATTAATTTGAAGTCAACATGTTACGTAGACAAAACATTAGAATATTTTATGATATACAACTGGTTACAGTTATGAGAGATGTTTTATTAAAATTAATCCCGAAATTACTGGTTGAAAGTAAAGTTGGTTGTTGTGACACTAGGGAACAAATGTCATAATTCTTGTGGATATCGAGGATTTTTTAAAATATTTATTTAGAAAAGTAAGAACTTAAAACTGAAGTAATTAATATTTGATTTATTAGTCATGTTTTGATGTCTAGTTTACTGATATACATTGATAATAAAGTAGTTAAAATGTTGAATGTAATTTTATAAAAAGTCATGACATGTGCACTTTGACCTACTTTTAGTGAGAAGGTTAAAGTTATATCTGTTGTATTGGATATTTTAATTTTAGATATAAAGACCAGTGTGAACATCTCTTGTGGAAACTGTTTTCCTGATTATCATCTTTTAAAACAAGAAGATCCATTTAAAGAAGTTATGAAATCTTCAAAATTGAACAGTGATGTTTGTGGAAAAACAAATTTAAAAGGAAGTAACATAAAACAATCTAATGTACATGAAGGTGATGATAAACCATACAGTTATGTAACATGTGGAAAGGAAAGTGTAACATTGGATAATGTAAAACAATCTAATACACATGAAGGTGATGATAAACCATACAGTTATGTAACATGGGGAAAGGAAAGTGTAACATTGGATAATGTAAAACAATCTAATATACATGAAAGTGATGATAAACTACACAGTTATATAACATGTGGAAAGGAAAGTGTAACATTGGATAACATAAAACAATGTAATATACATGAAGGTGATGATAAACCATACAGTTATGTAACATGTGGAAAGGAAAGTGTAACATTGGATAATGTAAAACAATCTAATATACATGAAAGTGATGATAAACTACACAGTTACGTAACGTGTGGAAAGGAAAGTGTAACATTGGATAACATAAAACAAGACGAGATAATACCATACGGAAAGACTCTGTACAGATGTGAAGTTTGTAGTAAACAATTTAGGTTTAATGGTGAATTGATAAAACATGAACAAATACATACTGGGGAGAAACCTTATAGTTGTGCAACTTGTGGAAAACAGTTTAGGCGTAGTACAGACTTAAAATATCATGAACAAATACATACTGGAGAGAAACCTTACAGTTGTTTAACTTGTGGAAAAGAGTTTAGAATGAGTGGTTCCTTAAAATATCATGAAAGAATACATACTGGAGAAAAACCTTATAGTTGTAACTTTTGTGGAAGACAGTTTGTAACTAATGGTAATTTAAAAATTCATAAGCAAATACATACTGTAGAGAAACCTTACAGATGCAACTTTTGTGGGAAACAGTTTGGAAGTAATAATAGCTTAAAAAATCATGAAAGAATACATACTGGGGAGAAACCTTATCGTTGTACAATTTGTGACAAAGACTTCAGATCAATTTCTGTATTAAAGAATCATGAAAGAATACATACTGGAGAGAAACCTTACAGTTGTAACTTTTGTGGAAAACAGTTTGGATGTAAAGGTCACTTAAAAAGACATGAACAACTACACACTGGTGAGAAACCTTATAGTTGTGAAACTTGTGGAAAATGCTTTAGAATGAGCAGTTTCTTAAAATATCATGAACAAATACATACTGGAGAAAAACCTTATAGTTGTGACTTTTGTGAAAAACGGTTTGGAACTAACTCGAGTTTAAAACAACATGAACAAATACATACTGGGGGGAAACCTTATTGTTGTGGAGTTTGTGAAAAAGATTTTAGAACAAGTTCTGAATTAAAAAAACATCAAAGAATACATACTGGGGAGAAACCTTATAGTTGTAAATTTTGTGGAAAACAATTTGGAGATAATAGTCACTTAAAAAACATGAACGAATACATACTGGGGAAAAACCTTACTGTTGTACAGTTTGTAACAAAGACTTTAAAACGAATACTCAGTTAAAAATGCATCAAAGAATACATACTGGGGAGAAACCTTACAGTTGTAAATTTTGTGGAAAACAATTTGGAATTAGTGGTAGCTTAAAAATACATCAAAGAATACATACTGGGGAGAAACCTTACAGTTGTGGAGTTTGTGGAAAACAATTTCGAAGTAGTAGTAACTTAAAGCAACATGAACAAACACATACTGGTGAGAAACCTTACAGTTGTGTAGTATGTGATAAACAGTTTAGAACAAACACTGAATTAAAATATCATATAGGAATACATACTGGGGAGAAACCTTACAGTTGTGACATTTGTGAAAAAGACTTTAAAACAAATAAGGAATTAAAAATACATCAAAGAATACATACTGGGGAGAAACCTTACAGTTGTGACATTTGTGGAAAACAATTTCGAACTAGTAGTAACTTAAAACAACACGAAGGAACACATACTGGTGAGAAACCTTACAGTTGTGTAATATGTGATAAACAGTTTAGAACAAACACTGAATTAAAATACCATAAAGAAATACATACTGGGGAGAAGCCTTACAGTTGTGACATTTGTGAAAAATACTTTAAAAAAAATTCTGATTTAAAAATGCATCAAAGAATACATACTGGGGAGAAACCTTACAGTTGTGACGTTTGTGGAAAACAATTTAGACGTAACTCTTGCTTAAGAAGACATGAACAAATACATACTGAGGAGAGAGCCTATGCTTGTGTAGTATGTCGAAAACAGTTTCATACAAGTAATGATTTAAAACAACATGAAAGAAGACATACTGAGGAGAGACCATACTGTTGTGCATTTTGTAGAAAAAAATTTAAAACAAATGCTGAATTAAAACAACATCAAAGAATACATAGTGGGGAGAAACCTTACAGATGTGATGTTTGTGGAAAACAATTTGGAACTACTGGTAACTTAAAAAAACACAAACAAACACACAGTGGGGAGAAGCCTTACAGTTGTGATGTTTGTGGAAAAGACTTTAGAACAATTGCTAAATTAAAAATTCATCAAAGAATACATACTGGGGAAAAACCTTACACTTGTGATGTCTGTGGAAAAAAATTTGGAACTAGTGGTAACTTAAAAAAACACAAACAAACACACAGTGGGGAGAAGTCTTACTGTTGTGGAGTTTGTGGAAAACACTTTCAAACAAATAACAGATTAAAATTTCATGAAAAAATACATACTGGTAACTTAAAAAGACATCAACAAATACATGTTGAAGAGAAACCTTACAGTTGAGCCATTTGTGAAAAAGATATAAGAATAAATCAGGAATTAAAAATACATCGAAGAATACACACTGAAGAGAAACCTTACAGTTGTGTAGTATGTGATAAACAGTGAATACTGAATTAAAATATCATATAGGAATACACACTGAAAAGAAACCTTACAGTTGTGACATCTGTGCAATACAATTCGGAACAAACTCTAGATTAAAAAAATATAAACAAATACATACTGTGCTGAAATCTTACACTTGTGTAATATGTGATAAACAGTTTATAACAAATGGTGGATTAAGATATCATAACACATACAGAGAATCCTTACTGCTGTACAGTTAATGAAAAATAATTCTCAAGTGACTATCTTAAAAGTGCATTGAATGATACTCTTACGAAGAGAAACCAGTTTCACAGTTTATGGAAAACAGTTTGGAGCAAACAGTAAAATAAAAATACATTCAAGAATGAACACCTAAGAGAAACTGTACTGTTGTTTACTGCATTGTAAAGAGTTTGTAACAAACTGTAACTACTACTGAATGTAGTTATTGTTTAAAGTTTATTGAACCAGATGAGGCAGGATTAAGGTGTACAGATCTGTCTTTGGTGTTTTTTTGGTAACCTTTGGAGATGTTAGATATGATAAAATTAATCCTAAATTAAATCTGGATGGAGAGAACAGTCATTGTTTCTGTAAAAGGAAATAGTAAGAAACTTTATAACTGAACAGTTTTATTTCCTAGTTTTTTATGTATAAACAGTAAGTATTGATTAGAACCAGTTTCTTTATATTAATATTTCAACATGTACTGAGAATGTCCTGCTATAATTGGTTTCTTAACAACTGTGAATTATGGGATTGAATGATTTCAAACTACAGTCTCAATTTACTATGATGATTGAAGTACTGATACAATTTCTAGTAAGATAGTTTTCCTACAAACTTATAGAATTTATAAAATATTAATAAACATTGTTATTTTTGCCTAAAGTTTGTTATTTGTAATTACTTAACTATAGGACTTTAAAGTATTGGTGTCAGTAAACATATTAATAGGACAAAGCATTATAAGATTTTATGGTATTCAACCATTAAAGTACACAAGATAATATACAGTTGATTGTTGTGAAACTATACCATCATATTTCAACAGTTGAGTTTGTCTACTGTAAACCTTTCTGTTGAACACAATCTTATACTTCCATTTTATATTTTCAATACTGTTTCATGTCAGGGTGAAAAGTTTTATAAAGTGTGAATCTATGAAAACTGTGTCATAATTATTTTTACCTTTAATATTTTGATATTTTTTGTGATTGTATTAAACATTTAAACTGAACTTAAAAGTTCAACAAATAATGTATGATACATTTGACTATTTCACAAAAGTATCACAAACATATGCTGTTTCTAACAAGGAAACAGAAACTCTAACAAGGAAACTTAATGAATTTGTTTGAAGATCTAGTGTACCTATGTAACTTCACTTAAATTAGGATTGGAACTTTGAACTAACCGTGTGTGTTGAAATGTGTCAGAAAACTGGAATCAGTAAGACCAGGACAACAGTATTTCATCTATCTTGTGACAGGATAGTTGAGGACTACAGTTTCAAATTCAACAATAAATGGACAGCACACAATCTACTTGTTTTAAAGTAATATATATTTAAAACAAGTTAAATATATGTACAAAAAGTCGTTTTATTACTGGTTATCACACTAAAACTAACTAACTTGTTGGGTATTTTGGTTTTAAAATCCAACAAGCCCTGAAGAGGCTTGATAGACAAGGAGGGGTGCTCAGAAACCATTGTTTCTCCTCACCCTGCTCACGAAATATAGGTTAATCCTTTAGTGTGGATGGTAAGTTAGAATTAAAGTACGAAAATTGAAAGCTGAATGGCTTTAACAATAATCTTGTGCTACTTGCTCTTTAAGGGTCTTGGAATACCATGGGAGGGTATGTGGCCCTTTTCAGGACTGGGATGTGTGTTAGAGAATTCTATTTTTTATCACAGTTGAATCCAGAGATTTAAATATATCTGTTTTATGTCAAAAGTCCACAAAAACTGGGACAGTTACTTCTTCTCTTCTCTATTATTACAATACAACCTGTGATTTTAACACTAAAAGCTGCCACTATTCACTGTAGACGTAAAAACACAGTCTAGATCTATATCTCTCACTAACTTAATTTATTTCCTTTCTGTATCTGCACTTATTTATAACATGGGACGGACTTATGTAACAAAACTTGTCATAGCTATCGCTTTTAAAATAATTAACTTTTAACACTAGTTATCAAAACTGAATAATAATTAAGTATTGAATCACTAAGTAATAACTATTAAATTGAACAGTCTTGTATATCAAACACAATAATTCACTGTTAAATCAAGTGAATGGCTAATGGGTTAAACTACTTATCACATCTAAAGCAGCAATAGGTCATAATGTCTGCCTTTTTGGCCTATTCAATACCTCTGCTTCTATTATAGACCTACTTGTGTAGTAGTCAGTTCATACATTTTAGCTGCCTTTCATAGTTATAACTGAACCAATATGACTGTAGATGAAAACCCATCTCATAATTTGACAATTAGCCACATTGGATCTTTTAAAATACCTAAGAGGCTGGTCTGTCTTTAGTATAAATTCTCAACATTTAGATAAGGTTCAAATTTCTGAACTGACCATATCACTTTCGACCTTCACATTAAATGACTGAATATTGTTACGCCTCCAGTCG